AAAAAAAAAAAAAAATTTTATCAATATATTTGCAGGCAATGAATAATACATTTCCCAGCCAGAGTGAAAAGAAAGATCTATAGATATTTTAAAAAATATTTCCTCTCCATTTTACATCAAAATTCCCTCACAAAGGATGACCTCTAATTTAAAAAAAAATCACAAATTTGGAGAACAAATGAATTAATCTGAATAATTACTACTTATATGTTTTCTTAAATCATAAAGATTATTGTACTTACCAGTGATGTCTGATCCTCAAACGGTCTTGTAATATTTTTCCTAAGAATATCAAAAAAGTGACCACAATTTTAATAACCTCAATAAGTATATACAATTAATATATTAAGGTAATTTTATATTCAGATGATAAAAAAATGGAAAGGATATTCATTCATTCAAATATTTATTCAGTGCCTACTATATGCCAGGCCACCATTCTAGGAGCTAGTGATACTATACTACTACATCAAACAAGAGGCTTGCTTTCATGGAGTTTACAGGCTTGTGGAAAATAGTCTTCTATACATAGGGATTATGCATCCTTCTGCATCCATGGATTGATCTGACCAACCACAGACTGCTAGTATTCAATAGAAAAAGAAAGTGTGTTTTTAAAAAAAAACGGGGGGCCGGGCACAGTGGCTCACACAGTGAGCTATGATCATGCCACTGCACTCTAGCCTGGGTGACAGTGAGACCCCGTCTCTAAAAAAAAGTTAATCAAGAAATAAAAAGAAAAAAGAACAATAAAAAGCAGGATAAACCAGAAAATACAGCATTATAACAATTTACATAGTATTTACATTATACTAGATATTATAAGTAATCGAGAGACGATTTAAAGTATATGTGACTTGCTTTTATGGGAAGCATTTTTTAAAAAAAGTATACAGGAGGATGTGCATGGGTTATATGCAAATACCAGGCCATTTTATGTAAGAGACGAGCATACCCAGATTTTAGTATCTAAGGGGAGGTTTCTGGAACCATCGCCCACAGAAACTGAGGGATGACTGTAGCTTATTCCAGGGCTGTGGTAAGGAAAATGACAAGATGAATCCAGAGAATTTTGTGATGTTAGAAAGTAAGGAAGTGCTCAAAAACAGGAGGCATGCTGAAAGGTCATAGGAACCAAACTAAAAGAGTTTCCAACTTTGGGAGGCCGAGGTGGGCAGATCACGTGGTCAGGAGATTGCGACCATCCTGGCTAACACAGTGAAACCCCATCTCTACTAAAAAAAAAAAAAAAAACAAAAAAATCAGCCGGGCGTGGTGGGCACCTGTGTAGTCCCAGCTACTCGGGAGGCTGAGGCAGGAGAATGGTGTGAACCCAGGAGGCGGAGCTTGCAGTGAGCCAAGATTGCACCACTGCACTCCAGCCTGGGCGAAAGAGCGAGACTCTGTCCCAAGAGTTCCCAGCTGGGACTGGTGGCTCACATCTGTAATCTCAGCACTTTGGGAGGCTGAGGCTGGTGGATCACCTGAGGTCAGAAGTTCAAGACCAGACTGGCCAACATGGTGAAACCCTGCCTCTACTAAAAATACAAAAATTAGCTGGGCGGGATGGTGGGCACCTGTAATCCCAGTTACTCAGGAGGCTGAGGCAGGATAATCGTTTGAACCCAGGAGCCGGAGGTTGTGGTGAGCTGAGATCGCATCACTGTACGCCATCCTGGGTGACAGAGACTCTGTCTCAAATTAAAACAAACAAACAAACAAACAAAAAAACGGGGGGGTTCCCAATTGCCAAACAGAACAATTTAAGCAACAAAATTAAGAACACTGGATTAGAATCCAGAAGAATATATGAGGAAAGTGTAACATTTTTGTAGTGTTGTTGACAAACATGCATAACCTCAATCAATTCATGAGAAAATTTAAACCCAAATTGAGAGATAATTTACAAAATAACTGACAAGTACTTGTCAAAAATGTCAAGGTCATCAAAGACAAGGAAAGACTAAGGAACTGTCACAAATTGGAGAAGACTAAGGACGCATGAAAACTAAATGCAACATGGGATGCTACAAGAGAAAGAGTATTAAAAGGAAAACTAGAGCCGGGCGCAGTGGCTCACGCCTGTAATCCCAGCACTTTGGGAGGCTGAGATGGGTGGATCACCTGAGGTTGGGAGTTCGAGACCAGCCTGACCAACATGGAGAATTCCGTCTCTACTAAAAATACAAAATTAGCCGGGCATGGTGGCGCATGCCCATAATCCCAGCTACTTGGGAGGCTGAGGCAAGAGAATTGCTTGAACCCAGGAGGCGGAAGTTGCGGTGAGACCAGATCGCGCCACTGCACTCCAACCTGGTCAACAAGAGTGAAACTCCGTCTCGAAAAAAAAAAAAAAAAAAAGAAAGAAAAAAAACTGGGCTGGGTGTGGTGGCGGCTCACGCCTGTAATCCCAGCACTTCGGAAGGCCAAGGTGCAGAGATCACCTAAGGTCAGAAGTTTGAGACCAGCCTGACCAACATGGCGAAACCCCGTCTTGACTAAAAATACAAAAATGAGCTGGGCGTGAAGGCATGTGCCTGTAATCCCAATTCGGGAGGCTGCGGGAGGAGAATCACTTGAACCAGGGAATCGGAGGTGGCAGTAAGCTGAGATCGTGCCACTGTACTCCAGCCCGGCGACAGAGCTAGACTCCGTCTCAAACAAAACAAAACAAAAAAAAACCACAAAAAAATTAGCCAGGCATGGTGGCATGTGCCTATAATGCCAGCTACATGGGAGGCCAAGGCAGAAGAGTGGAAGTTGTAGTGAGCAGAGATCACGCCACTGCACTCCAGTTGGGCGACAACAGGACTCCGTCTCAAAAAAAGGAAAAAAGAAAAACTGATGCTAATCAAATATGTCTGTCATTTGATTAACATTAGTGAATCAGTGTTAATCTGTTAGTTTTGATCACTGCATTATGGTTATGCAAGATGTAACATTAGGGGAAGCCAGGTGAAGGGTATATGGGAATTCCGCATTATTTTTGCACTTTTCTGTAAATCTATAAGTATTTCAAAATAAAATACATATGCTATGGTCACAACTATGCAAGGACATTCAATACAAATGAAAAAACAGAACAAAAGAAAGAAATTATAATATTAAAAACTGTAAGGGATTTTAGTATCTTTAAAAAATTTTTTTGTTTTCCAAATCTTCCATAAAGTGGTTACTTTTATAACGAAACAAAATAATTTAAAATACAGTAAAAGAAATCATGACTTACTTCTTATACAGTACACCATACGGTTTTTTCAGTGCATACTGTAAAACAAAATTTATAGCTTTCAAAACAAAACCCATTCTGAAAAGCAGAAATAAAAATAAAACATCATAACAGTCACTCTCCAAGATTGCTCTGGGGCCTCAATCTTGTCCTGAGGCCTTCTTCCTGGCTCCCTTTTCATCACTTACAGTAACTTGAAACATAAACTTAATATTCTTGGACTAGACTTTCCTATTTAAAAGTTTCTATGCCCTTTCAATAGTCTATCAAACTTAAACCATTTCCTTCATTTCTTTAAACTCGACTTAGTCCAGTCTCTCTCTGGGGAAACAATGCCAGGTACAGTGGCTCACGCCTGTAATCCCAACACTTTGGGAGGACAAGGCAGATCACTCGAGCCCAGGAGTTCGAGACCAGCCTGGGCAACATGGCAAAACCCTGTCTCTACAAAAAACTGCAAAAATTAGCCAGACATGGTGGTGCCTGCCCGCAGTCTCAGCTACTTGGGAGGCTGACGTGGGAGGATCACCTGAGCCTAGGAATTTGAGGCTGTGGTAAGCCTTGATCGCACCACTGCACTCCAGCTCTGGTGATAGTGTGAGAACCTGTCTCGGAAAGAAAAAAAAGTAGTAGATAAAAACAGAAAAAATAAATTCCATCAGGAAAGGTTGATGTTGTGTGGAGATAAGAAAACTCAGAAACAGTCACAATGATGACAACTAGAATACTAGCCAGGGGTTAAACACAGCTCTTTAAAAAATGCCTATTATTCAATGTTCTTCATTTTTTTCCCTACTTCTACCCATCCACTAATAATCATTCATTTTATTTTATTTATGTATTTTGAGACAGGGTCTCACTCTGTTGCCCAGGCTGGAGTGTAATGGTGCGATTAAAGCTGACTGCAGCCTCAAATTCCTGGGATCAGGTGATCCTCCCATCTCAGCCTCCCAAGTACAGACACATGCACCACACCCAGCTAATTTTTGTATTTTGAGTGGAGATGGGGTTTCACCATGTTGTCCAGGCTGTATTTTACTATTTTTAAAAATTTAATTTATAGAGATGGGGTCTCACTTTGTTGTCCAGGCTGTTGTACTGGGCTTAAGCAATCCTCTCACCTCAGCCTCCCAAAGTGCTGGGATTACAGGTGTCAGCCACCACACCTGGCCTATAATCATTTATTACTTGTATGGCCAGTACTGCTCTACCATAGAGAATAACAAAGATGTCATCAGGTACTACCTTGCATTAGAGAAATGGGTAAATGAGGGAAACAATGAAAAATAAGGTATAATAAGCATTCATCAACTATCAGAGTTGGTGAACAAAGAAAATGCAACAGTAAAATCTACCTTTTTAAGTATAAAACTTTTGATGATTCTTGGCCAACTATTTCCCTGTTTCCGTGTAATAAACATTGCCACCTCTTCTTGATAACTCAGATGAATTTTGATAATCATGATGAATTTTAATTATTGTAGTAATCTGTAATATTGTGCTGCTTTTAAAGCTTACTTAAATATGTAGGATCATTGTGCTGATGGATATACTAGGAGAGGGGCAGTGTCCCGTCAGCACAATGACATTCAGACAAACATTTCAAAAAAGGGATGGGCCTATATAAAGCATTCAGACATCTGAATTGACTATGCTTATCAGGCATAGAGTTTGGCAAGTTTAAAAATGTATTCAACGCCAGGTGTGGTGGCTCACTCCTGTAATCTCAGCACTTTGGAAGGTTGAGGCAGACAGATCACTTCAGGCCAGGAGTTTGTGACCAGCCTGGCCAACATGGTGAAACCCTGTCTGTACTAAAAGAACACAGAAATTAGCCGGGTGTGGTAGCATGAGCCTGTAGTTCCAGCTATTCGGGAGGCAGAGGCAGGAGAATCGCCTGAACCCGGGAGGCAGAGGTTGCAGTGAGCCAAGATGACACCACTGCACTTCAGCCTGGGTGACAAAGTGAGGCGCCATCTCAATAACAACAAAAATGTATTCAATTACTTAATTGATTTAATTCAAAGACCTATTAGCTGTACTGAAGGCCTAATTAGTCAAATAACCTACTAGGTATCTCCACATACTATGCCTTTTTTTTTTGAGATGGAGTCTTGCTCTATTGCCCAGGCTGGAGTAAGTGCAATGGCGTGGTCTCAGCTCACTGCAATCTCCACCTCCCAGGTCCAAGCAGACTCTCCTCTCTCAGTCTCCTGAGTAGCTGGGATTACAGGCGTCCACCACCAAGCCCGGCTAATTTTTGTATTTTTAGTAGAGATGGAATTTCACCATGTTAGCCAGGCTGTCTTGAACTCCGGACCCCGTGATCTGCCCGCCTCGGCCTCCCAAAGTGCCGGGATTACAGGTGTGAGCCACTGCGCCTGGCCTTTCTTTCATTGATTACCTATAGATTGAGTACCTACTATGTACAGACACTGGGCTGCACACTAGGCTACAGAGGTAGAAAAAACAAAGCTTTTATTTTCATTACTTAAATCACATGTCCCAAACTGAATCTTTCACCTTTCCCTCCAAACCTGCTCCACTTGACACATTTTCTAATTGGCATTATTGCCCATCAGGCACTCAAGCCAAAAACCTGGGAAGTCATACTTTTCACTAGTTCCCAACTCTTCTACCCTCAACATCTATTTTTTTCTGGTCATTTCTCATTTTCATTGCCACCACTGGACTCCAGATGCTCTTCACCTAGCTGGCAGCAATGGTTTAGTTTCCTACATTTGCTCTCAACCCTCTCTAGTCAAGCCAATTAAAAAGACTGGTGGTCCTTTTAATTCTCTTGCTTATTATCTTTCAATGACTACATGGAGCTTTCAGATTAAAATTCAAACTCCATTTTACTATATGACCCATGCCTCTTCTTCTAGCCTCATCTAGCCCACTCTCCTTTGGCCATGCCCAATTATTTACAGTTCTCCAAATGCATCAACGCTCCTTCATACTCCCTTTTGCACAAACTTCTTTCTCAGTCTCAGAGGGTCTTCTCTTTCTCTCCCACTTCTTGCACCAACTTCTCCTTCAAAATCAAGCTGAAGTGTTATCTCTGGGGGAACCTACCCTGTGTGGGGGTCCCCCATGTGATTTTTTTTTTTTTTTGAGATGGAGTCTTTGTCACCCAGGTTGAAGTGCAATGGTGCGATCTCGGCTGACTGCGACCTCCACCTCCCCGGTTCAGACCATCCTCCTACCTCAGTCTCTGAGTAGCTGGGACTACAGACACGTGCCACCACACCCAGCTAATCTTTTTATTTTTAGTTTTCACCATGTTTCACCACGTTGGCCAGGCTGGTCTCGAACTTCTGACTTTGTGATTCTCCTGCCTCGGCCTCCCAAAGTGCTGGGATTACAGGCATGAACCACTGTGCCCGGCCTCCCTTATGTGATTTTAACTGTTTCCCACCCTACCCTGTCCATGCCTCCAACACAGCACAATGTGAGAACTTTTTACATGTCTATCTCTCTAAGCTCACTGAAAGAACTGTGTCTCACCTATTAACTCCCAGCAGAGGCACAGTAACTGGTGTTGTTGAATGACTAAATATATAGCAATATGCAGTTATTTCTCTTTACAAATTAAATTTTTTCCTAAAATGTGAGTAAGCCAAATTCTAGTAATTGAAAACAGCTTAAATTTACTAAGGGAGACCTTCACCCTACCAGACCCATCTGTGCTCCTAAAAGATAATAACAAAATTTACTAGCAGAACTAGTTGCTTTAAGAAAAACTAGTAGTTGGTGCCTTGCAGGGTAAAGAACCCCCCCAACTTTAGCTCTTCTCTAAGATTAGTAGTTCTTATGGTAAGGCAAGCTTATCTATGTATTTCTCCGGCAGCCCAACCTAGCATGCTGAAAATTCCAAAATGACTTCAATACCTTTTAAAGATTAAGTATATATACTCACCACATCTTTAAGTACTTGTGTCACTGTTGCATTTGCATTTCCCCCTTTAATCAGCATGGCATTTTTAATATTTTCATTGAGTTTCGGTTCTCTCTTCTCAAGGAATCTCTTGGCTCTTTTCGTTTTGGGCTTTCTGTTCAGAAAAGCACAATTCATAACTATTTAAACATTTTCCTCACATTGCAAAGGCATGACTTAACTAATATGCAAATTCTTAAAAACACATTTGTCATTTAGGACTCCACCCTTAAAACAAAATCTCACTTTTTTTTTTTTTTTGAGATGGAATCTCACTCTGTTGCCCAGGCTGGACACAATCTGGACGCAATGGCACAATCTTGGCTCACTGCAACCTCCATCTCCTGGGTTCAAGCAATTCTCCTGCCTCAGCCTCCTAAGTAGCTAGGATTACAGGCACACACCACCACACCTGGGTGATTTTTGTATTTTTAGCAGAGACAGGGTTTCACCATGTTGGTCAGGCTATTCTCGAACTACTGACCTCAGGTGATCTGCCTGCCTCGGCCTCCCAAAGTGCTGGGATTACAGGTGTGAGTCACAAGGCCCGGCCAAAATCTCACTTTTTTGGGAGATATCAGTAAAAGATATTTCCTTATGATTGTTAAATAAGTGTTTTGTTAGCTTTTAAAAAAAAAACTTTCATTTTTATATTCCCACCATTCTTTTACTACTGCTTTTTCAAATCTTTTTTTAAGTAAAAAATAAAAGGCTCAAGTAAATACTGTCGCTATTTTTACTCTTCTTTTTTCTTCAAGCCTTAAGTAGTCAAACTGTATCCTGTACCCTAATACAAAGAATTGAGCATCAACTGCTGATCAACCTGTGGGCATTTACTAAACATGAGACTAATAACTGCTTACCTTTCTTTTAGGTTTAAGACCACAATGCCTGCCAGGAAGTATACACTGTTGCACTCCAATATCATTGCTGAGAATGTCAACATTATTGCCAACAATGGGGAATAATAAGGTTGATGTTTACCTGGAGTCACTCTATTAAGGCTTAATCTTCACCACAATCCTGAGAGTTACAATTCTTTTTTATTTATTTATTTTTTTTTTGAGACGAGTCTCTCTGTCTCCCAGGATGGAGTGCAGTGGCACGACCTCAGCTCACTGCAAGCTCCGCCTCCCGGGTTCACGCCATTCTACTGCAGGCGCCTGCCACCATGCCCGGCTAATTTTTTGTATTTTTAGTAGAGGCAGGGTTTCACCGTGTTAGCCCAGGATGGTCTCGACCTCTTGACCTCGTGATCCGCCCGCCTCGGCCTCCAAAAGTGCTGGGATTACAGGTGTGAGTCTCCACACCCGGCAAGTTACAATTCTTATCTTCACTTTACAGATGAGGCAACTGAACAGACAGGTAATGTGCCCAAGATCATACAGCAGGTAAACAGGCCAATTTTCAAAATGAGCTAGGGCTGGGCGGCCACAGCCTGTAATAAAAACACTCTAGGAGGCCAAGATGGACGGATCACTGAGCCCAGAAGTTCAAGACCAGCCTGGGCAACATCGCAAAACCCTGTCTGTACAAAAAAAATACAGAAATTAGCTGTGGTGGTGCGTGCCTATAGTCCCAGTTACACGGCAGGCTGAGGTAGGAGGGCTGCTTGATTCCGGGGAGGTCGAGGCTGCAGTGAGCTGTGATCGGGCTACTGCACTCCAGCCTGGGTGTCAGAGCGATACCCTGTCTCAAAAAAAAAATGTTTTTTAAGCTAGATTTAAAAATTCATGTAGACCAATTACCCTGTAAACTATTAAGGGAAAATAAATTCATTATTCTGACTTTATGATGTGACAGTAGGAATGGCATATTTTTACACATTTCTGTTCAAAAAAGGGGCTTCACCTCTGCTTCCTCTACAATGAGCGCCCTGATTTTTCAGACAGTTCTCTGTCATCTACTGAAAGAATTCTCCTCCCAAATAATTATGACCCTCCCTCGTCCAGTCCCATGGACACTTTGGGAAGAAAGAGACTATACATGCACTTTAGTTTCCCATGTAGATTTTTAACATCCTCCTCCAGAGATAATGTCACATATAAAGCTTCTAATCATTTACTGGTTGATGAAGATACAAATTATTCTATCTTCTGTAACTCATTAAACAGCAACAAATGCAAATAGCGATTAACATGTTTTATTAGCTGCCTGGCTCCCAATTAATGTGTAAACTAGTCCCAATACCTAGTAAACGACTCTTCTTTGTAGTCCAAACAGCTAGAGGCATAGCAGGTGTGCAAAATCTCTGAATGACTAAAACTGTCGTTTTGGATACATACTAACCTACGTAAATAGCAAGAAAACCACAGCAAATAACAGCAGGGCTGTTTAGCACAATAAATATTCTTGAACAAATTTAAAACAGGTATTATTCAAGGATAACTCAGAGAAGTGTACAAAGCCGGAAAGAAAAAAAAAAACAAAACTAATGAACATTTCTACGTGCTGCAGCAAAGGCTCTACATATATTCGCAAAACTAACCCTCACAGCTCTAAGAAGTATGACTATGATGAGTGCTATTTTACAGAGTAAACTGAGATTTAGAGACATTTAATGACCCAAAGTCACAAAGCTTTAAGCGAACGCTCCAGATTGTCACCCAGATCTGTCGGATTCCGAGGGCTGTGCTGTTAACCCCACTCTAACTAATCTGTCTCATACTTCGGAAGTCAGATGTTTTTCAACTGACTAGGATAAAAGCGGCCAACGCTTCAATCCCACATCCCATCCCGCGACTCCCACCTGAGAGCTTCCCCACTGTCTCCTGGCAAGTAGCTCGCGCTGAGGAAAACCCCGGCTGGAGATCGATCGGCTCCCACCCAGGCAAGAAGAGGGGTAACCAGGAAGAGTGAGAGGCCGAGACAATACCACCCTCATCACGGGACCCTTTCACCCCAACGTTCCCCGGGGCGGAGAATCAGCGAACTTACACAACTCGATCCAGAGTGTCCATCGCTACTGCTCCCTGCAACTCTTAACTAAGTGGATGCACGTGCACCCGGCGATTACGTGCGCCGGAACAGGCAGAACCGGAAGCTGAGCGCAACGCCACTTCCGGGGACGCCCTCGCCGACGGTGCCTGGAGGTGTTGGCGGCCATTTTGATTGGAATCGCGCCCTGTTCCCTTGGTTACGGATTTTTGCCCTGGCTCTTTCCCGGAATTACAGGTGCGAGGTAATACTTTTAAGTAACATTGGCTGGGTGTGGTGGCTCACGCCTGTAATTCCAGGATTTTGGGAGGCCTAGATGGGCGGATCACCTGATACCAAGAGTTCGAGACCAGCCTGGCCAACGTGGCGAAACCCCGTCTCTACTAAAAATACAAAAATTAGCCGGTCGTGGTGGCGGGCGCCTGTAACCCCAGCTACTCGGGAGGCTGAGGCAGGGAGAATTGCTTGAACCCGGGAGGGGGAGGTTGCAGTGAGCCGAGATCGCGCCACTGCAAAATCCAGCCTGGGCGACAGAGCGAGACTCCTTCTCAAAAAAAAAAAAAGTAACATAGAGTCTCACAGTTTGATGTACACGCTAGTGTGTATACTTGGAGTCAAGTATTCAGAAACCAGATTTCATTCTTCAGGGAATCCCAGGATGCTAGAAAGGTTGATTGCACGGTAGGTACTCACAAAATCACTAAAAACATTAATGTGAAATGGGCACTATTGACAACTGTGCGATCAGCGTGACAGAGTTTATGTCTATCACAGTTGCCCAATACATAAAAAATGCGCAGAAAAGGTACTGCTGATCGTGATTTTTTCCCCAGTTTTTAAGTTACCACATAATTCACATACCATAAAATGTACCCCTTTAAAGTGTACAATTCATTGGTTTTTCGTGTATTCACAAAGGTGTGCAAACATCACCACTAATTCCAGAATATTTAATCACCTCAAAAAGAACCCCCTCGACACACAAACCCAGTAGCGGTCCAAGCCCCACTTCCCCCTCCTGCCAGCCCTTGGCAACCAATAATCTACTTTATGTTCAGTGGATTTGCGTATTCTGAACATACATAAATGAATTCGTGCAACGTATGGCCTTTTGTATCTGACTTCTTTCACTATCTGTTTTTGAGGTTCATACATGTTGTAGCGTGGATCAGTACTTCCATTTTGTTAGCACTCTTAACTAAGTGGATGCACGTGCACCCGGCGATTACGTGCGCCGGAACAGGCAGAACCGGAAGCTGAGCGCAACGCCACTTCCGGGGACGCCCTCGCCGACGGTGCCTGGAGGTGTTGGCGGCCATTTTGATTGGAATCGCGCCCTGTTCCCTTGGTTACGGATTTTTGCCCTGGCTCTTTCCCGGAATTACAGGTGCGAGGTAATACTTTTAAGTAACATTGGCTGGGTGTGGTGGCTCACGCCTGTAATTCCAGGATTTTGGGAGGCCTAGATGGGCGGATCACGAGGTCAGGAGATCGAGACCATCCTGGCTAACACGGTGAAATCCCGTCTTTACTAAAAATACAAAAAAAATTAGCCGGGCGTGGTGGCGGGCGCCTGTAACCCCAGCTACTCGGGAGGCTGAGGCAGGAGAATCGCTTGAACCCGGGAGGTGGAGCTTGCAGTGAGCTGAGATCGGGCCACTGCACTCCAGCCTGGGTGTCAGAGTGATACCCTGTCTCAAAAAAAAAAAAAGTAACATAGAGTCTCACAGTTTGATGTACACGCTAGTGTGTATACTTGGAGTCAAGTATTCAGAAACCAGATTTTATTCTTCAGGGAATCCCAGGATGCTAGAAAGGTTGATTGCACGGTAGGTACTCACAAAATCACTAAAAACATTAATGTGAAATGGGCACTATTGACAACTGTGCGATCAGCGTGACAGAGTTTATGTCTATCACAGTTGCCCAATACATAAAAAATGCGCAGAAAAGGTACTGCTGATCGTGATTTTTTCCCCAGTTTTTAAGTTACCACATAATTCACATACCATAAAATGTACCCCTTTAAAGTGTACAATTCATTGGTTTTTCGTGTATTCACAAAGGTGTGCAAACATCACCACTAATTCCAGAATATTTAATCACCTCAAAAAGAACCCCCTCGACACACAAACCCAGTAGCGGTCCAAGCCCCACTTCCCCCTCCTGCCAGCCCTTGGCAACCAATAATCTACTTTATGTTCAGTGGATTTGCGTATTCTGAACATACATAAATGAATTCGTGCAACGTATGGCCTTTTGTGTCTGACTTCTTTCACTATCTGTTTTTGAGGTTCATACATGTTGTAGCGTGGATCAGTACTTCCATTTTGTTAGCACTGAATAATATTGCTTTGTATGGATATACCACATTTTCTTTATCTGTTCGTCAACCTAGGTACTTTTTTTTTTTTTCCAACGTAGTCTTGCTCTGTCGCCCAGGCTGAAGTGCAGTGGTGCGATCTTGGCTCACTGCACCCACCACCTCCCAGGTTCAAGCAGTTCTCCTGCCTCAGTCTCCCAAGTAGCTGGGATTACAGGCACGCACCACCACACCTTGCTAATTTTTGTATTTTTTAGTAGAGACAAGGTTTCACCATGTTGGCCAGGCTGGTCTTACCTGAACTCCTGAGCTCAGGTAATCCACCTGCCTCAGCCTCTCAAAGTGCTAGGAATACAGGCGTGAGCTACTGTGCCCGGCCAGTTTATGTACATTTGAGTGGTTCCCATTTTTTGGCTACTGTGGATTATGCTGCTTTGTGTTTTTTTGTTTTGCTTTGCTTTGTTTTGTTTCTGAGACAGTCTCGCTCTGTCACACAAGCTGGAGTGCGGTGGTGCAATCTCAGCTTACTGCAACCTCCGTCTCCCGGGTTCAAGCTATTCTAGTGCCTCAGCCTCCCAAGTAGCTGGGACCACAAGCGCGTGCCACCCCACCCAGCTGCTTTGAATATTATTTTCCAAATTTTGTGTGGACATATGTTTTCAGTTCTCTAGGTAAAATTGCTGGGTCATATGCTAACTCTTAAGTGTAACATTTTGAGGCACTGGTAAACTGTTTTCCAAAGCACCTGCACCACTTACAAGTGCATGAGGGGTTTGGTAATTTTCCTATTTCTGTTTGTAACAAATACCACACATTTATTATTTTATACTTCAAGGAGTCAGAAGTCTGAATAGTTTTTGCAGTCTAAAAGGCGGAAAAGACAGTGCTCAGCACAATCCCAGCACTTAGAGGACGGGCGGATCACGAGGTACACATCTCTGGCTAACACAATGAAAACCCACAGTCTCTACTAAAAATACAAAACATTAGCCAGAGCGTGGGGTGGCGGCGCCTGTAGTCCCAGCCCCTACTTGGGAGGCTGAGGGGCAGAGAAATGGCGGGAACCCGGGAGGCGGCTTGCAGTGAGCCGAGATCGCGCCACTGCACTCCAGCCTGGGCGACAGAGCGAGACTCTGCCTCAAAATAAAATAAATAAATAAATAAATAATAAATAAATAATAAATAAAACGAAGGCCAGGAGTCGTGGCTCATGCCTGTAATCCCAGCACTTTTGGGAGGCTGAGGGGGCGGATCACGAGGTCAGGAGATCAAGCCTCCTGGCTAACATGGTGAAACTCCATCTCTACTACAGATTACAAAAATTAGCCAGGTGTGGTGGCACACCTGTATCCCAGCTACTTGGGAGGCCTGGGGCAGGGGAATCACTTGAACGCAGGGATGTGAGTTGTGATAAGCCGAGATCGCACCACTGTACTCCAGCCTGGACAACAGAGTGAGACTCTGTCTCTTAAGTAAGTAAGTAAATAAATAAATCGAAGAAGTCAGTAGGACTACATTCCACCTGGAGGCTTCAGGGTAGAATAGGTTTCTTGGCTTTTTCCAGCTTCCAGAGACTGTCTGCATATTTTGGCATTTCTCCATCTTCAGAGATCATCAGTTGAACTTCTGCTTCCATTGTCACTTTTTTTTCCGTGATGCTCTGACACTTCTAACTCCCTCTTAATAAAACGCTTGTGATTACATGGGCATCACCTGGATAATCCATGATAATCTGAAGATCCTTAATTTCTAATATTTCTCATGTATTCTAGATATAAGTCCATTACCTGATATATAATTTACAAGTATTTCTCTCCAATTTAGTAGGTTTTTTCATTCTCTTATTAATGTCCTTTTGAGCACAGATCTTTTGAACTTTGTTCAAGCCCAGTTACCTATT